CTGGACTCCACAGATTACCTGGGAGTGAGGCTTCCACCCTGGCCCAGGTGCGCCTTGAGTTATTGGCACACCCCTTTCAGGGAGCACAGCTCTGGATGGTGTCCATGACGTGGGGGTGATTGTGGCCTTGGGCAGTGTCCCACCCTCTGTCTGCTTGGAGACCAGGTGCCCACACGCAACCTGACAGCAGCTTCCTGCCACTTGGGTGTTTTAACATATCCAGGCAGCTCAGGCCTAGACACATCGTATGGCCAGATTCAGTGGTCAGATGAAGAGAAAAGAACATGACGTGTTGAATGAGAGCAGCAGTGGGAGAGCACGTGCAGGAGGCATGGGGAGCCTGGGGAGAGCTGGCCGCCCTCCCTCCAGGGCTGCCCGTCTGCTCCAGGCTGGGCTGAGGCCTTTGGTGGAGAGGCAGCCCTCACTCTTACTTCTAAGGACAGTGGCCCCAACCCAGCCCTTGTCTGCCTCTTCAGTTCCCACCGGGGCGGCTGGAGACTGGACTGTCTCTGCTGGAGGGCTAGATGTCGGAGCCATGGGGTGGGAGGTCTGGTCGTCACAAGGAGGTGCTGACTGTGGTCCAGATCGGCAAGAAGGCAGGAGTGGACCTTGAGGTGTGACCCTGGAGGGCACACAGTTTGCCTAGAGCTCCCTCACCTGCTTGTGCTGGGGAAAGAGAATCTCAGTGGTGCAGGATGGCCAAGAGACATCCACCCCTGCCCCGTGGGCCCCAGGTTCTCAAATGAGCCAGTCACCTCGGGAGGATGGGCACAGAGATGGAAGGGAGACTTTGTCTACAGTGCTGGGAAATCCTTTGTACGAGACAATAAAGCAGAGGAACGGGAGGGAGCTTCCAAGGGCCCGGCCTCTAAAGCACCTGCTCACTTGGGTCTGGAGGGGCCAAGACTGGGATAACACAGTTATCTTTTGCCCAGCCCAAAGCGCTCTGCTCAGGCCACTGGCACAGACGAGAAGATTTCCTGGAGATATTGGGGAAAATCTAGGCTCTGGGTGAGAAAGAAGGGATGGAAGCCAAGGCAGGGGAAGGCACTGTCCATCCACATAGTGCATGAACGCAAAGCTCAACAAGTCACCTGCTACGTTTTGTTGAGACTCAAGTTCTCACCCCTCCTCCCAGATGTCTTTTCTCGGGGCTCCAGTGGGCATTCGGGAGAGGGGTGGGGGTGGCAACAGACAGACAGCCCTAGAGAGCCATGAGGACAGATGGCGACAGCAGCAACAGATACTCCGAACACGGCGTGGCAGGCAGAGCACTCCATGGATGTGCCCAGGGCGGGAGCTGCCAGGCAACGCCATGCGAGCGCATGCAGGAGAGCAGAGGGCAGCAAGCACAGGGCAGCCTCCCACGGCTATGCATAGTCGCCTCTGGCCTCGGCCAACCCCTTGGAGGTGGACATAGCTTTCCCCATCCTCCCAGAGTCCGTGGTTTCTGTCACACCAGAGAGCACCTACTACTTCCCCTACTACTTCAAAGCCAGGCCCTTCCTTATTGCCATCT